CTGTTTGTTTGCACTTACTTTTAATCTACACCTCACTAAACACGTAGCAAACGGGTGTTTACACAAACACAATGATAATGTTTTCATCATTCATCATTTCATCAATTCCAGCTTGTAAACTGTTTTCAGATTAATGTGTTTTCAGTCCCAAAAATGAACAAGAACAAGCAAAAGGACAAGCAAACCACATAAAAGGTTTACTGCTTTTGGCTGAAAACATTTGGTAACAAAATCTTATGTAGTTGTGGCAGCAGGTCTTGCTTGAATGACGCGTCACAGCTGTTTCCAAATAGTAATGCATCTCACTTTAATTGTTTAACATTAAAATATTCTTTTACTAACTTGCATTAGTAGAAGTACTAAGAGTTTCTTAGTGTGTGTACTACAGTAAAAATAGTTGTTTTGGACCACACTCATGAGTTGAGTTGGCAAAATCTGTCCAGACATTCTTTACCATATCTTTTGTTGTCTTCGGTTTGAGCAAATTGTTGTTTTAAATGTTTTGCCATTTTAAATATTCAAATATAAATATAAATATTTAAATATACCCCAATGTACTTTCAAATCTTTTGAAGTCGAAAACGTATTGAAAATTTAAAAGGAATTTATCTTAGGGATTTTTTTTACAGTTTGTATTAACAATTAAAAAAAACAGTTCACCCAACATTTTAAATTGTCATTTTTTACTAACCTTTCACTTGTTCAAAATCTATTTTGAGTTTCTTTTTTTTCTGTAGAGCACCAAAATAAGATATTTTAAAGACTTCTGGTAGCAGGTACTCATTGACTTCCATAGTATTTTTTCCTACTATGAATGTCAATCAGAGCCAGCAACCAGCATTCCTCAAACTAACTTATTTTGATAAAAGAAATTAGCTTTTATCTTATTAAGATAAAATAAACTCATAAAGGTTTAAAACCACATTAGTAAATGGTTAGGTAATTTTTATTTTGGGGTGAACAAACCCTTTTAAGTATTTTGTCAGGTTGTAACGGCTAGATATGGCCTTTTTAAAAACTTATTTAGAGATGAAAATAATGTTTTATTTACTGTTATTTAAATATTGTTTTTATATTACACACCATTAATTTTAACTTCTATTTAATTCCTATTTAATTCTTAATTAACTCGTATTTCAACTAATAAATTACTACCATATTTGGTAAATTTGCTCATTCAACCTCTTTTCCATCAGCATAAGCAGTGTGTGCACATGGTGTGTATTGATACATCGCCCTCATCTGGCCAAATCATGAAGTACTCAATCAGATAAACCCCCCTACACTCCCGACCCCTTCATTTATTTGCTCCTCATAGCATCAGTATGCCGGCATACTATCGATTGCTTTACTTTCACACTTAATCCAATTGTGAGCATGTTGTGTGTGTTATTATGGTTTGATTCTAATGGGGTCAAGATGATCCATCTGCGGTTTCTTGTTGTTTTCGCCCAGCCTTCGGTGCTCATAAACTTCCTTGCCCACAATGCAGATACGACCATAAGCTGCTCCCACGCAAGTTTGTGTAGCCCCTCCACTTTGTTGCTGGCAGCTGTGAATGTGTCCAAAACCCGCAGCTGTCTTTCTCCTGCCCCGTGCCTGCCTCTTCATCTCGCTCTCACTGTCTTTCCACCTTCATCAGCGGGTTGGTGAGTTTCTCCAATGCTGTATTGGCATCACGGCACGCTCCCCTTCCTGCGTGCCATTTGTTTTACCATTCTCATCCCTTCATTTCGGTCATTTACATGAAGAGGAGACAGCTGGCGTGTGGCAGAGTGCATTTAACGGATGCTCAATTAGCCGCGTTTTGTTTGACTTCTCAATCAAACACATTTAGCTACTTTTGTTGGGAATTTGGCCACACTTGTTCGAGTTCTGTTGGGTTTGAATTAGGCTTTTAATTGCCTCCCATGCATTCACAGACCTTCTCTTGATGTATAGTGCTGTTGGAACAATTAGGAGCCATTAAAACAATGGCGGCCAAGTCTGCGGACGCCCGAGCACAGAGTAATAACAGTCATTAGAATAATAATTGGGATAGCAATGGCGGTGCCGATTGTCGTGATGTGAATCACAATATTGATGCGGAGGACAGAAATAATAATGGCCACAATTACAATGGCAATTGTGCAAAATTTCGGGACGTCCTCAGTCACTGTCTCTCAGTTTTTCCGCTGTTCTCGTCTCTTGATTTCAGCTCAATACTTCACCTGTCAATGTTTTATTAACCCGCTCTTGCTGCACGCTGAATTTAAGACAAGGGTACTCAGAGATGGATAGAGGCTGACAGGATTAAATTTAAATAAAGCCAGACGAGCAGGCTATCGGGTGATGAAGCATGCCTTCCCGAGCCTTTATAGACTCTCTTTTATTTCCCTCCTGAACTTTTGTCTTTTGTCTTGAAGTATGCCACAAACTCTATAATAATCCTAATTGTTCCTCTAAGAAACATTGCGCCTCTGGTTTATAGCAAGGATGAAATGTGAGGAAATGTTAGAATGCAAGCTTTACATTAATGTTTAAGGGATCTTTTCAACTTTGTTCACCTAAAAGTAGACTTTTTTTGGAAATAGGCTCGTTTTACAAGTCACCTACTCTTTAAACCCTAATGTTGTCTTTACTTAATTAAGTAAAGTTGACTGAAAATCAATTTAACTTACGTACTGTACCATGAAAATGCATAAACTTAAGATTTCAAATGTAGTATGAGCTCAAAATCATAATTAATCCTTTGAAAAAAATAGGTTGTTTTCACAAATGTAGTCTTGACTGTAAAATTCTAATATGTGCAACCTTTTAAGTGCAAGGTCTTTTTTTAAAATCAGAAAACAAATGGCTTCAGGTATAATTATTCATCACAATATATGAATAAATGGCTACTTATTTTTTGTTTTGAATTTATTTAAACATGCCTCAATTTAATTGAGTAATGGAGTTTCCCAAAACGTGCATATTTAAGTTTATTTAACTTGCCTGTTTTGTAGACTATACTTAAATTATTCAGTTCACCAAACTTAGTACTAAGTTAAATAAACTTCAATATGCAAGTTTAGGGAGACTCCATTTCTCAATTAAATTGAGGCAATGATTTTACTCAATTAGTTTAGTTCAGTCAACTTAACAGGGAAGAGTTAAACGTAAGAGTTTTACTGTTTTTTAATCCACTCAGACAGTCTTAGGATCTGGCATGTTTTGAGGAATGATTTGTTGATATGTAAACTAAACATTACTCTATCTTAAGGTAATGATGAGTTAAGGCATGCGCTAATCATGAGCTAACTTTAAGTACAACATGAGTCACATGAGTTCATGTGTGAATAACGGCTACCTTAATTACATGTTAGTACATGTTGTTAATTAATGTATATACTGTATTAACATTTACGTTTATTTACGTGGTAATTAGTACAACAAGCATGTACTAATAAGTAATTAAGGTAGTCCGTATTAAATCTTGAACTCATGTTATATTTAAAGTTAGTTCATAATTAGCGCATGCCTTGACTCATCATTAGTTCATGATAAAGTATTTATTAGTTTACATATCAACACAGCATTCATGTACCTTTATTGTAAAGTGTTACCCTTAAATCATTGAATCACATTAGACCAATAACATCTGACCTAAAAATTTCGAAAAAGAATTTAAATCACACCTGCCAACTCTCCCGTTTTGTCCAGGAGTCTTCCGTATTTCAGACCCGCCTCCCGCCACCCTCCCGTTTTGGAAAACTCCTGTAATTTCACTCCCCCAAACACCCCATACCCCAGTTACTTAGCTGTGTTATTCAGACAACTCACCACCCACACCACCCCCAACCCCCCCAAAGAGTGTAAGATAATTTCCTAGGTCGAAATGGTTAAGAACTCTCATTCTGGTGTAACAATCAAGGCACTATGCTAATGTACATGGCTGCAGCAGGTGCAATGATATTATGCAGCACCTGAAAATTGCCCCTATGTAACTAGGTAACAGCGTTGCGTAATATCATTGCTCCTGTTGCAGCAATGGTACAGCAGCAGTCCAATCAAGTTTCAACCCCTAGAAAATCAGTGCCTATAGCTGAAGAAACATTATTTGGTCCTATGAAGTAAAATGAGTCACCTGTAAGAACTCAACCAACTGTTGGTTCCAATCTCCAGCTACTATATCCAGCCCTCCTGTCACACAGCATGTCTGTAACATATCAGTCTGAGCATGTCAGACATTATGTCTCGGCCAGGTGAAAGGAGAGATGGAGGCGACAGGTCTCAACAAACCAGCAGATGTGACAGTTTTACCCTGTGATGTCATCAGATGGAGTCTGTTCTGGTGAAGAACGCGATGCCTCGGTGTCAGGCCTGTGAATCATTAGAGTCCACCAGAGACAGGCTCTCGTCGAAGAACACGGCTAATGATGTGCTGTGGCTTCCAGAAACATGTTCACATGGGTCAGCGGAGATGACCTCTTGTTCAACCCCCTCTATACTGCTATAATAAACATCAACAGGACACGAGCTTCGCCCAGAACATGATGTTTTGTTAGATTTAGTAACCATTAGATGTTCTGTGTTCCTGCATTTGACTGATCCAAGTTCATTCCTGAGAAAGAGTCGTCATTAACGGCGCTTTCACGAGCTGGATGTCAGATGGAGCAGATGGAAGAGAGAAGTGTGTCAGCCCACAGTAATGGATAAAGATAACGATGCTATTGGTCTTACCAGCACTTAATTAGGACTCTTTTCTTTTCTTTTTCTCCCCTCCGTTGTCTCCGTCTATCTGTCAGTCTCTCATTATTTTCTTTTTTTTCACTCACTCGGTCTCTGCTCTTCTGCATAGTTCACACTTCTAAGCACCGAGGTAGTTACGTGAGCGAAGTGTTAATTGGTCACTGAGGTATTTCTGTCTTCCGATATGCTCCATGTGCCACTTTTGTCTTCTGTCCATCAAAAAACACCTTTATAAATGTTTAAATTCACCAAATGAAAGTTGTGCGCTAACTTGGGTTTCTGTTTTTCAGCGAGAGGGCAGGCCGTCCAGGCGGAGAACGTGACCGTGCTGGAGGGAGGAACGGCTCAGATCTCCTGCCGTCTCCAGAATTATGACGGTTCAATCGTGGTCATCCAGAACCCACGCAGACAGACGCTCTTCTTTAATGGAACACGAGGTGAGAACTGCCACTGCTAGGATGATAATTGCTAGTCGGTCTTTTTAAAAAAACAGCATAATTTGTGTTCACACAAAGTTACTGTGGCACATTTAATTTATTATGCTAGCTCGTATCGCTTTGTATTAGCTGCAAGTTCATGCTGCAGTTTAAAGAACTGATTGGTGGGATTTAAAAAAAAAACAACAACAACAAAGAAACAACTTTAAACAGCCTGATACCACTAGGAATCTGAACTATTTTACATATTGCCATTTAGTTCATATAAAAACATATGATTTTTAAAAGAAGACGTGAACCCAAACTAGATATAGGATGATAACCATTTTCACAACTTTGAAAAGTCAAAGTTATTAAATCACCAACATTTTTCGTTATACCATTCCTACGGTATATGTAAGATTTTTTTTTTTAATTCCCAAGTTCAAAATCACCTACTACTCCAGTGCTTTCCACAGGCTAGATTGAAACACACTATTTACCCACATCACATAAATAGTTTACTATATGCGACAAACAAAACATAATTAAATTAAATTAACTAGATTATTAATTAGAATTAATTATTATGACACCATTTTACACTATTTCTTTTCAATGAGTTAAAGTAAAAAAAGACTGATGAAAATATAAATAAAAAAGAAATCCACTGTTTCTATTACTTCTATGCTATTCAGGAGCCATGTGACCCCACTGACAGATAAAATCTGCTACGTTCTTTCTTTCAAGTTCAAAGCTTGAATGCCAAAGCATTTTAGATATGTATATAAAATAGCCTATGTAATATATTAATCATTAAATTAATAAAATAAACAGTAAATGAGAAATAAATCACAGAAAAAGAAATAAAAACAGACAATATCTCCAAAAAGGATTATAATTACAAGATTAAAAGAGTAGATTATTTCAATAATGCAGATGCGGTTATTAACTGTTACTTATGATGTACATATATTTTGCAGCCAGTGTCATTTAGATTTGAAAAATGAATTGTTTAAAGTTTCTCTCGCTCGTGACTGTGAGTGTTAGCTTAAGAAAAAAGGTAATGCAAAAACACATTTGAGCTTTGGAAAGCGAAAGCAAAAGCCAAATCCTGGACATTTAAAAAGATTTAGATACCAGAGAGGACGAAGTCCCAAAAATGCATGTCTCTTTGGGTCTGCAGAGCATGTGAGACTGTCTGTGTTGACTGGTCTCACAAACAGAACGAAACGGATAAATGAGAAAAGATTTTCCGCTGCTTAATCGATCGCAGATACAAAAATAAAAAAATGTAAAGGATGATAATAATTGTAAGAAAAAAACCGTACACTGAATATACTTGGACGGCCATTAATTATATAAATTCTATGGGCCCTATCATACACCCGGTAGAATGAGGCGCAATGTGGCGCAAGGCGCGGCACAATTGTTGTTTGCTAGTTTCAGCTCGGCACAAGAGTCGTTTTGACGTTTTGCGCCACGCTGTTTAAATAGCAAATGCATTTGTGCTCACATGTGCCCCCATAGGTGTTCTGGTCTAAAAAAGGAGGCGTTTTGAGGCACATTGCTTGCGGGTTGCTATTTTGAGTAACTTAAATAGATGGTTCAATAGATCAGATCAAAGTTGGTCTATTGTCCAGCGCAGAGCGCGTTAGTTGTGTGACTTGCTTACACATTGCTTAATACACACAGGGTGTAGAGCAATACGCAAATATCTTTACAAATGAAAAAGAAATAAAGGATTAAAATATTACAAAAATTATTATTTTCTATCCTACATAAATATAAAAACCAAACTTCCATGCTTTTTCATCTCAGCGGCTTTCTCAGTATATTCATGACAATTTGCTTTTGCACAATGTTATCATTATTAGCAGTTTATTTATTGTATGCATATCTATATTTGTTTTATTAAAAACAAGCTTAGATTTGTCCACCTGTCAGGTTTTAGACCATATGGGGCACAGCATGTGTATTTGAATATAACTCAGTATTTTGACCACACTTCGTTATTATTGTTCATTTATTCGTTTGCTAGAAATTATAACTGAATTTAGAAATAGTTTTGAAACAAACCTTTGCACTTAACAAACTAAATTAATTATGTATAGGCTAATGAATGTCTGTGCATACGATCGAAAGTAAAAAATGAGGAGGCTCATCTCTCATTCTCTTGTTGTAGATATTCTGTTTAACTGTTTTCTCTCTGGTGAAGTGTTTAGTTTTTCCACTTACAAAGTCCGCCATGTCAATAGCAAATGCTCTATGGCGCGGCTCAACTGACTCTTAAAGGAAACGTTCGAGGTTACAGAAGTAACCCTTCGTTCCCCGAGGAGGGGAACGGAAGTGCCATGAATGGGAGGATTCGGATCAGAAGCCGCTTATCTGGAGAGTATTGAACGGGCCAATGAATGAAATTAATTGGCAGCGTAAGCTTGCGCAGGTGTGCGACATCTGCAATTATCTCAGCATATAAGCACACCTGAAGCCAGCAGACGCCATCCTTTTAAGCTGAAGAGACTTTCAAACAGCTAAGGGACAGTCATTATGGCGACGGAATATGGCACTTCCGTTCCCCTCCTCGGGGAACGAAGGGTTACTTCTGTAACCTCGAACGTTCCCCTTCGGTTGGGGAACTTCAGTGCCATGAATGGGAGAATATGGAAAGCGCCATAATGACTGCACCTTACCAACACCCCCGATGAGGAGATAGTCAAGCAAGCGTGACGCACCCACATCATGGGGGGCGCGGTCCTCCAACGTGTCCCTGGCCCTAATTTATCCTACTTCAACAGAAGTTTTACGGATTTAGATATATTTTTTGGGAAGTCGTGAGCATCTAGATAATTCTAGGAAATACGACAGTACGTTGGGAAGCGTGCAATCCCGATAGGGAGGACGCTGCGGAGGCCATCCGTTACCCAAGGGGGGGATAGATGGCAGAATTAACCTATGGACTAGCCCTAAAAAGGGGGAGTACGCATAGCAAAAGAGTGGTTAGCGGGGAGGGAAGACACGGGTCCGCCCAGGGGGGGGACTTAACCGTGGCGGAATAAGCATATGGGATCGCCTAGTGGGGATCACGCATAGCAGGCACCTTTACCCAAAACGCGGGCTGACCAGCGGGCAGACCTACAACGTAGTGGGCCAGCAAGTGACTCCTCCGCTGAGTCAGTGCTGGGGGCCACGGAGGAATCTGCAGGGCTCACCTGACGGGGAACTTTACTGACAGATAAAAAAGGCGCACGTACCTCCGTGTTAGGGAGAATGGCGCAGCAAGCGTGTTTCAACACCCTACCGAGTTGTCTCCTCAATCACCAAAGGGTTACCTAATACCCTTGAGGAAACCGGCTCCACTCGCAGATTGTAAAACCTTGCAAATGTGTTGGGTGTCGCCCAGCCCGCAGCTCTACAGATGTCTGTTAGAGAGGCGCCGCGTGCACGCGCCCAAGAGGATGCAACGCTCCGAGTGGAGTGTGCACGTACTCCCGGGGGACACGGCTGACCTCGACTCGAATAAGCGAGTGAAATGGCATCCACAATCCAGTGGGATAATCTTTGTTTCGATACGGCACTTCCCTGCTGCCGACCGCCATAACAGACAAAGAGCTGCTCAGATGATCTAAAATTCTGAGTACGGTCCACATAAATGCGCAGAGCGCGAACTGGACAAAGTAAAGAAAGGGCTGGGTCTGCCTCCTCCGGGGGCAGCGCTTGCAGGTTCACTACCTGATCTCTAAAGGGGGTGGTAGGAACCTTGGGCACATAACCGGGGCGGGGTCTCAGGATAACGTGAGAGTAATCCGGCCCGAATTCCAGGCACGAGTCACTGACCGAAAATGCCTCCAGGTCCCCGACCCTCTTGATGGAGGCCAACGCAACCAGCAGAGCTGTCTTCAGGGACAGAAATCTTAGAGATACTGATTCGAGTGGCTCAAAGGGATCGGATCGCAGACTCGTGAGAACGAGGGCGAGATCCCAAGAGGGCATGAGAGGGGGGCGAGATGGATTAATTCGCCTAGCACCCCTAAGGAACTGGATGACCAGGTTATGCTTTCCCACGGTGCCGCCAGCTACCGCGCTATGATAAGCGGAGATGGCGGCCACGTAAACCTTGAGAGTGGAGGGCGACAGCCTGCTGTCCAACTTCTCTTGAAGGAAAGAGAGCACAACACTAATCTGGCAATTTCGGGGGTCTTCTCTGCGAGAGACGCACCATTCAGTGAATAGACTCCACTTCAGGGCGTAGGCGCGCCTCGTGGAGGGGGCTCTAGCCTGAGTGATGGTATTAACCACCGCAGTCGGTAGGTTACCTAAGTCTTCCTCGCGTCTAGGGACCACACGTGGAGGTTCCAAAGATCGGGGCGAGGGTGCCAGATGGTGCCCTGTCCCTGAGAGAGTAGGTCCTCTCTCAAAGGGATCCGCCAGGGGAGGGCCGTCGCGAGGAGTGAGAGCTCTGATATCCAGGTCCGGTTGGGCCAAAGGGGCGCAACTAGCAGAACCTGTTCCTCGTCCTCCCTGACCTTGCACAGAAACTGCGCGAGCAGGCTCACTGGGGGAAACGCATACTTGCGCATGCCCCGAGGCCAGCTGTGGGCCAGTGCATCCGTGCCGAGAGAGCCCTCGGTCAGGGAAAAAAACAACTGGCAGTGAGCGTTCTCGGGGGAAGCAAACAGATCGATCTGGGCCTCCCCGAATCGCGCCCATATCAGCTGAACAGACTCGGGGTGGAGTCTCCATTCTCCAGGGCGTAACAGCTGTCGTGAGAGCGCATCGGCTGCACGATTGAGCGTGCCTGGGACGTGAATGGCGCGCAGCGATTTCAGCCGCGGGTGACTCCAGAGGAGCAGACGGCGGGCGAGCTGAGACATGCGGCGAGAGCGCATACCCCCCATGCGGTTGATATACGCCGCCGCCGCCATACTGTCCGTCCTGACCAGCACGTGTTGCCGCTCCAGCACCGGTAAAAAGCGGTGGAGAGCGAGGAACACTGCCAACAGCTCTAGGCGATTGATATG